TTTTTTTCCATGATTGACTAATGCAGTTTTTCCACCTAAGGTTAAGAGGAGATGGATGACTGAGCTAGCACATGTTAAATGTCCAAGAGATAGGTGCTGTTAAGGATTGCCTTGATGCATCAAATTCATTCTTGGCATTTCCTGAAAGAAACCTGGACAAATATTAAATGGATTCCAGACATGCCACCTGACTACAGAATTGTAAGGCAGGGCAATATTGTAAGCAGGGAGATCATACTCCTTTCTGTGACGTTTAGATGGGCTAACTCCCAGAGTTACATAAGTTAATGTTCGTGCATTCTCATTTTAAACTTTTTTTTAAAATGTATTTATTTTATTTTAGATCATATGTACTTATATCTGTAAATTGTATTGGGCGTAGACATTTTGAATACTATGTACACTTTACTGCTGTCATGCAAATTTACACATTATCATTTTCCAAATTTTATCCTGAAAGTGTTATCAAATAGGAAAGGTGAGGTTACATAGACTCCAAAGGGACTTCACGTGTCTTCTTCCTGAAAGTAAATGTCAAGTGGAAGAGATGAGGTCGTATGGACTTTTTCTTTTTTTTTTGAGTTTATTTAAGAATTTGTTGAGGAGTTAGCTTTTGAGTTAAGAAAGGAATCATACAAAATGTAATAATTTTTTTGTTTATTGAAGTAAAAATAATCTACTCGTATTTCAAGTGTGGTTGATTCTTTTTACAAACAGTGGGAATTACCTGCGCCAAGAACATTGTGATATAATGGAATTTGACCAAAACCTTCTCACAAGTAGGACTTGTCCACTCAGTATGCTGACCACTTCATTGACATCTCATTCTGTGGCCATGTATAATTGTAATCGTCAGTATTAGAATGTGGCATTAGAAAACATGCTTGATTTTTCATGAGTAGACCCTGGGGAGCTGTATAATTAACGTCCACCTTCAACCCCCTTAAAAAAATAAAAATAAAAGTATAAAAGAAAAACTATATATTTCTTAATAGATTTTCAGCTTAATCAGCAGTATTAACTAAACTGGGATTTTTGGGGAATGAACCAAAGACTTGGTTGATCAAAATTGGTCACATACCCAACTCCATTACAGTATGTCCCCAGTCCATCTATCATAGCCTAAAATGGTAAGTTATGGGTTTAGTGTATACTACCAAGAGGAATGCATCCGAGTAATCGTTAGAGCTTGGTTAGCTCAGATTCACCATAATTAATAACATCTCACTGGGGTTATATGTCAAGAAAGATCGGTTTTAGGGCAGAGCTATGAAAGTGGAGCAGTCACCGTGGAAACCAATGGAGTGTTCCGGCTGATTGTTCCACAACTAGACTGATTTCCATGGAAACCAGAATATTCTCCCCACTGATTTTAAAAAAAACAACCCTTATATATTTGGATTCCTTTTGATTCTCTAATTCTGGTTTTGTCTCCACAAGGAATAATTGACCAAGCCAAGATTAGAACACATTACGTATTTTAAATTGTACATATTAATCTGTGATCTTGTAGCCTTTTTACTGGCTTTTTTTTTTGTATTTGTGTATGTTTAAGGGAAACTTGGGTCACATCCAGAAGTATGTAAAAATATTTATTTTTTTATGTTCTTTTTTTTTTTTTGCGTGGTATCTTATTTTAATTGTTAAAGTCACATGTTCCTAATAATATAACTGATAAATAAACATAATTGCTTTTGTATGTTCCAAGTCAATGTTCCCCCTAAGCCAGAGATAGGCAACCTCCAACATTCCAGATGCTGAGGACTAGACCTCCCTTGATGCTTTGCATTATGGGAGATGTAGTTCAAAAACATCTGGAGTGCCGAAAATTGTCTACCTCTGCCCTAAGCCATTTTCGAGTGGTCCAGTACTAAAGCATTATGAAAATAAATCACTAAAACAACCACAAGTTTTAGTTAGCATTTGATACTTCCAGTTACTATGCAAATTGTGCATTGTTATAAAGATGATTCTTATCTTTTTCCGTGCTGGGCCAATCACAAGAAAATTGCTTAAAGGGAATATTTCAGTACACGCCATATGTTTCCTGATGTTTTGGAAACAACAAGAATTTGCCTCTGAAACACAAACTGCAGTACAGAAGCATTTGCAAACTAAGCCAAATATTTTTATCAGATTTTTTTTTTATGTGTTAACTGTGATAATAGATATTTTCTGAATTGAGTTTTCACTAAAATCATTTTGTATTGACCAATAAAATAATTTAATATCCAATTTTTTTTTTTGCGGTTTGGTTTTCTTTGGCGTTGGGAAAATATAATTATATTTTGTAATATTTACCGTTTCTGCAGTTGATTTGTCTTAGCGTTCTTTATGCATACAATAATTACTTGTCTGTTCCCATAATTAAAGTTTTCCCTTTTATACTTTTTTTTACCAGATAAAACCAGTCTTCACCTGGCTATTTAATAGCACCGACTGCATGACTTGAATTCTAAAAGGTTATTTTTTTAATTTAAAGTTTTACAAAATCACATGAAGGCAATGAATAGAATTACAAAAGAAACAATTACAGTATATGATTTTACTTGGCTGCTGAATAGTGTTAAAAACTGAAAAACAGATTAAGAGTTTGAGGTCCAAGTATATATATATTTCCTGGCTAATCATGGCAGCATATACACATGGGTTAGCTCCTCTCCTACAGCCGATAGGACAGGAAAACCACCAAGGTTTTAAAAGGAGGCTCCATCCCTAAGCTCCTCAGTCTTTTTCCTGTCCTACAGCCCTTAGGACGTGAGCAATTTGCTCCCTTTACTTACGGACATGTATGTTGTTTTATCTTCATTACTTTATTTGCTGTTTTACTGTAGTACATTATGCAGTTGTGCTTTTATGCTGTGATGCATTTAAGCTTTGATATCTTTAAATGAGTGCATTATACAGCTGTACCTTATTTTTAAGATTGTGGTACATTATGCGGTTGTGCTTTTGCTAGGAAGCATTTAAGCTGTGTTGCATTTAAACTGTGTGGCATTTAAAACTGTTTCATTTAAATTTGCATTTAATACTGTTGCATGTAATACCGCAAGTCATTGGAAACCGCAGTACATTTGGAAAACTGCAGTGCATTTGAAGACTGATATATTTTAAAAACTGTGTTACATTTTGGAATTATCAAGAAAAGCAGTTTCAGACCAGCTCAGTGGTTGACATTCCCGAGTGGAAAATTCTAGGCTCTGCTTTTCCCTATCTCGGGAACAGTTCCACAGATTGTAAAGGTTTTCTCTCCCAGTGTCTTCATTTCTGCTTGGTAACAGCAAGAAAATAGATGCAACTACTAGGAATCCTGGCTTCCACCAGCAGACTTGTCAGATAGGCCCAATGGCATCTCTGGATTCCTTACAGATCCTTCCTATTTTGGTCTAACAAGAGAAAGATTATTGGAGCCAGCCACTTACTATGTCCCCATCAGTGGAGTTGCACCTTACCCTGGCAGCTGAAAGAGGGATTAGATCTCTGAGTTTCCAGTGAACAGAACCTCATTGGTCAATTATTAGCTCGAATTCCAGTTTTTATAAGATTGGTTGCACAGTGTTTGGACCATGTTGCACAATATTTCCATTCATCTGTATGGAATTAAGAGTCATTTTCAAGGCTCTTCTTCACTTCAGAGGCTTGCTGAAGAACGAGTGGGTCCAAATTTGCTCAAATATCAATGCAACTGTATCCTATATCTACCAAGATGGGTCTCACAGATACGTATTGATGGAATCCCAGCCCATAATGATCAGGGCACACAAGAACAACCAGTGGCTCAGAAGCCCATGGCTGTTTGCTGGAGCCGAATAACTGTGGACAAGGTGGATTGGCAACCATGTCCTGACATATCCTCGTGGTTGACGCAGATTGTCTGATACCCTACATAGATCTGATGGCCATTTCTTGGAACTACCAGGTCCAGAAGTATTTTTTACATGCTAGGACCAGAATGCTCAGGTTCAGGATACATTGGCTCAAATTTAGAATTTTAGTCTGATGTACATATTTTCCTGTTTTCGACCTTCTTAAAAAGGCAGTGCAAAAGGTGACAGTGGAAGACCGTGTCGACTCTAATTCCTATGATGAATAAGATGATTCTGGAACCTCCAAGGGATATTCCTGTACGTTCAGACCTATAACAAGGCCCCATGACACACCAGGATCCTCAAGTTCTGGTGTTGATGCGGGAGTCCATATTAGTATAGGCATCCCTGAGACGGTCATTGAGATCCTCTTACAATCCTATACAGGCTTTACTAAGCTTGTCATGCTTTTGTCTGTTGGAATTACTCCTCGTTCAGGCCTTGAAAGGTTCTGTGTTATAACACTCTAGAGGAGCACTTAGCTGCACTTTGCTTCATATAGGCATTGATTGAAATCATGCCTCCACTGAGTGTGGTGAAGCCAATATGTGACGTACCACTAGTCACACGGGCCCTGACTGAAACATTATTCGAACCTCTAGAAGGAGCTTCCATGGTGGTAGCACAGAAAGTGCTGGTGGCTGGTACCCCAGCAAGGAAAATGGGTGAACTCCAGGCTTGATCCTGTGAACCCCCTTTCACTACTTTTCAACAGATATGGTCGTCCACCTGAAGATCCTGCCTATGGTGAATGCTTATCTATGTCATTCTCTACCTGTACTGAAGGGTACCGATTGAGCGTTGATGCCCCTGGTGCTTTGCTTCATGTAAGCAACAATTGAACTCAAGCCTCCGCTGAGGGTGTTGAAACCAATATGTGACGTACCACTGGTCTCACAGACTCTGACTGAACTTCTAGCAGGAGCTTCCATGATGTTATCCCAGACGTTGCTGTTGCTGGTGACATGTACCTCAGCAGGGTGAATGTGTGCACTTAGCTGCACTTTGCTTCATATAGGCATTGATTGAAATCATGCCTCCACTGAGTGTGGTGAAGCCAATATGTGACGTACCACTGGTCTCACGGGCCCTGACTGAACCATTATTCAACCTCTAGAAGGAGCTTCCATGGTGGTAGCACAGAAAGTGCTGGTGGCTGGTACCCCAGCAAGGGAAATGGGTGAACTCCAGGCTTGATCCTGTGTACCCCCATTCACTGAATTTCAACAGGATATGGTTGTCTTGCATGTAGCACCAGTGATCCTGCCTAAAGTGAGAGCCTTTCAATGCCGTTCTCTACCTGTAGCAAAGGATTTGGGGCATTCTCCACTCGTGCTGTTACAGCATCTCGTGGGCTTCCATGGCAATGGTCTCTGCTGAAACTTTGTAAAGTTGGTATTTGGACCTCTTTGAACTAGTTTGTCCTGCATTACATATTGGACATTGAAGCAATTTATGAGGCACAATTTGGACGTCACCCATTGCATGCCTTCACCAGTAGAAGAAGCCAAATGTCTTGGTAAAGTAGAGCACAGCCGTAACATTGTCCATCTTTGTTCTAGATTGCAATCTGACTTTCTCCTGCTGGAAAAGAACCCAGATAGGTTGTTAAACCATACTAAGCCAGTTTAATATCTTACCATGGGACAATACCAGGGCACCCCTGACACCATAACTACTACAGTCCGCTGCTTGTATTGATCCTTTAAATAGTTACTCAAAGCACCATAACCACTTAAATCATTTAATTTCACTATAAAATGCTACACATACTGAGTTTTGTGTGTTTTTTTTTTGTTTGTTTGTTTTTTAAGGATTTTGGATTTCCCAGCATAAATGTGAGATCTGCTTTCTGCCACCCTGGAAATTGCTTTGTTTTCATCTGCCCACTGACAGAAACTGCGTTAGTACGGAATGTGCTGATGGCAGCTGTATTCAGTCCTACCGCTCTCTCCACTTTGGAGAAACATCTTTTAAAGATAAGTTTAAAATAATATAATCTAGGATAGTTCCTTATTGGGATAATAAAGGAAGCAGATTCTCTGAACTCCGTGACAGATAGTAACTTTGTGACTGAGCAACGGAATACACCTGTGTAGGAAACATCAGGATAATTTTCAAGGGGGCTTTTCATTTCACTTTCATTATTTAGGGATAACTATTTCTCTGTCAGTGGTGGCTTGTCCGTAAAGACACTTAGGGCAGTACCCGAACAAATAATTGTTATACATTTATTTTCTTTTTAAATCTGTTGCCAGTTGTACAATAGCAAACTATTTGCATGGTTTCCCTGGGAGTGCTATAATTTCTCTACGCTTCTACCAGCACTGCACAGACTGGCTCATTGATAGTGGATGAAGGCTGTCTTAATAAGCTGTTAAAAGCAGCTGGGCATGTGCAGAACTTGGGTTGTTTGTGAAGAATGCCCAGTGCAGGTGCACCTATGACATGCTCAGTCTGCTCCCCAAGGTGATTTCTGAAGTGACTCCTTTAATCTCTAGTAGGTCATAAGAGATGGACGTTTGTAAAATAATACAAAAATCTTATATCTCTTGCTAAAATGGTAGCCTAGATGTGAAGCGTACAGCTTGAAATTGAAAGGTTTCAAGTTTTATCCCTATATGGTAGTTGTTGGTTTTTTTTTTTAAGGCTGGAGTTGCTCATTCTCACCACTAATTTCAGTTCTTTATTTTTATGTTTCCACATGTGTATTGCAATATCATATATGTATATTATCTTAAAGGAACACTCCAAGAAGTGTGCTGTAGTGGTTCCGGTTCCTCGTTGAAATGAGCAGATTCCCAGTATTAGTATGTGAATGGTCAGGCTCCCAAGGCTTTGGGGGATAAAAAGCTTCTCCAGACGTATTCGCAGGTTTCACTTTGACTGGATTGATTCGCAGGGTTCACAGTGATTGGACTGATTCGAGGGGTTCACGGTGATTGGATATATACCCAATGTTTGGGGATGAGAGGGCAGATTCCCAGGATTAGTGGTGTTACATGCAAATCTAAGCAGTGAACGTTGAAATTCTCAGATTTATCAGGTCAAGGGTTAGATTCACAGAGATTAGGCCCCAGGGAGAGTGTGCAGTTTAGCGGACAGGGGCACATGTATGAGTGTGGGGTGGATGATGCATGATTGGCTATATGCTACATGTGGGAGTGTGAGATGTGAGGAAGTGGGTGGTGACAAAGCAGACTGACCTCAGTGCCACTTAGGAGCCGGGCCAGCAACAAGTTTCCCACCCACCCTCCCTTTGCTGCTTTGGGCCCGGGGGGTTGTCACAGCGAGGCGGGGTGTGTCCTTGCCAAATAAGGGATGGTTTGGTAGATTAGATGAAAAAGGG